CCTGTTTGCCTATTTCTATCGACATCTGCCCTGTAATACACAAAGAATGATAGAAGATCAAAGTTTTAATTGTGCAAGTAAAAGAATGTATTAATAACATTCTTTCTGTCCTACAGCAACAGAGATAAACTTAAAAAAACTTCTAACAGCTAAGGGAACAGGATATTTATATAAAGATGTCCTAACAAAAGAAAAGCATGCAAAACTACCTCTAGTGGATAAACAAACTGGCGCTCTGTTTGCAGACTGTTCCCTATCAAGCTCAGTCCTCAGAGATCCCCTCCCTCCCTCAGTCAACAGGGTCAACATATCTCAGCTGGGCTTCACGTTTTTATACAAACCCTTCTCACCACCCTTTGTCCACTGACCCTTTAAATTTAGGAAAATGCAGCAGGTGTGCCTTTAAAGCCCATTATGCTGCCACCTGCTTTAGATTCCCCTCTCCCAGGTAGTAAGAAGGGGTTTTTTGTTGGTCTTTTTTCTGCTAGCTCCTTCCTTGGCTGCACAGGCTGCACTGCGTATCCTCCATATCCCTTTGATTATAACAGGACACTAGTTCTGTGGCACATGTACAACAAACAGTACCTCCTGCTCAGGAGACATTCTTCTTTGCTTTCTGAGATTAAGAGCCTGAATTTGTTGCCTATTTGTCACACTGCTGCCATTCATTAATGCAACAGCATACTTTGCACTAGCTGTTCTTCTCCTCTCCAAAATTAATACAGCGTGGGGTGCTCTTTCCCTCCCAAGACAGCAGTAGCTGCCTTTATCCACTTAGAGGTCCAACTTGCGTACACTGAAGGAAAAAAAGAACAAAAACAACCAAAAAAAACCACCCCAAGACACCCAACCAAACCAGCCTACAGCTGTACTTAAACTGGGACTCCCAAGAGTGATGACTGGGCTATCTTACTGAAAGTAAGCTCGATAGCACACCATACAAGAGTGGGTTCCAGTATTTTTCTATCAAATTTGGAACCCTGAGACGAGCTCTGAAACAACCCTGGCAAGTAAAGCATCGCTGCCACATCTTCCTGAATGGAGGCCACCACAAGCAGAGAGCCTGAATTGTCTCAGAAAAGTCCACGAGGCAGCAGAGAGGACAAGCTTACTCAGGGCTACCTGCACAGCAAAACCAGACATTTGAATGTGATTCTTGGTCTCCTTTCAAGTCATCTGTGAATTATAAAGAGCCAGTCATCCTCCATCCCCTTTGTCTTTAAGGAAAAGTTTAATATTAATTTTAGCTCCTTTTCAATCTACTTCTGGGCTAGGGCCCAGTCCATCTGCTGTATTTTTTAAAGTGACTAATTAGATTAAAACCACACAGAACACCCACTCAGGACTCACTCAGTTCTTCCAAACTACAGTAACTCAGGACAGAAGGGACACTACAGCAAACTGTGGCACTGCTTGTGGGAAGCTGCAACTTGCAGAGAGACAGGCAGAGAGTGAAGTACCTCACTGTACAGCGAGTTATTTTCCACAGGGAAACTGGACAAGGCACTTCCTTTTCTTTTGTGTTGTCCCCTCATTCATAATAACGTCCTTTAAGACATCTGCTAGAGTCCTGTAGCATTAATGGAAATGGAAAAGCTCCAACAGGAACTTGGGGGTTTCTCTCTTTTTCCCATGAACTGCACATTATGGAATTTTAACAGATGTTCTACTTGGTCATAGTTAATAAAATGAATTATGCAGGAATTAAAAATCTGGCTCCATTTGCTTATATAAGATCTCGGCAGCAGAACTATATTCCCATTAAGAAATTCTAGAGGATTTACAGTGGATTTATAGTCTGCTCCTGCCTTGTTATAAGATGGCCGGAGATCTTACAAATGAACTTGTCTCTGTTGTGGAAAACATGAATCAATTTACCTGTTCATTGACTGTTCTTAGTAGCATGATCCAGTTTCCACCCTGATGCACACTGGTACACCACAACCATAGGAAAGGACAATTCTCACTTGGATTTGCTTTGGAAATGACATCATGGGAATTCTGCATCATTTCACAGCCTCCGATTTCTGCCACTTACTCAAAGTCTCATTCAGCAACCAAAAACTGTACTCCCACATTGTGCTTTATCAGAAGAGTTTTACTCTTGGACTTTCAGGCTGCTATTGACAAGAATGATGCACTGTACCTCACTTCCCTTTCGATTTTAGGATTAGTTCAGTGTAACTACATCAAAGGAAGATGTAAGACCAAAATATAATGGAGATGTGAGAGAAGAGGCACCAAAAAGGAGGTAGGTGAAAGAGTCAAAGCCAAAACTTCCAAGCATTGAGGTTCACTCAAAGAAAGTTTTTTTTCCAAAGCATTACGTATTTAGCCATCTTCTTTCTCTTCTAATATCCATCTGTACAGAAAGAATTCTGATGAGAAGGGGATAAGTGAAACAATGAGCATCAAAAATGAAGGATGGAACAACTACCTTACACCAGAACAGAAGCAGCACAGCAGCTCATGCAAATTACACAGAGCAGAATAAGGCTGTCTTGATAAGATCTACAGTAAAAAGTTTGGGTTTAAACATACTAAAAAAATCAGACTAATTTTCACTGAAGTCCAAGCAATTGGCAAGCAGATCTCTATCCAGGCACTGAAATCTGCTTTATGTAACACACAAAATATCTGCTTTATGTAACACACAAAATTTTATCCTGAGGCAACAACTAAAATTAACCTCTCAAATTCTGGCTCAAGAATTTTGCCAGTGCAAGAATATCATCATCTGAAAAGCATCAGTATTCCCAGCCTCTTTCACTTTCTTTTTTTTCAAATGAAAAATCATCCATTGAAGCCCCTCTACCCAAAAATCCCACCCCACTGTAACTAAAAAAAGGATTTTATACAAGTAATGAGCCAAAGCATGTAAACAAACTCTGTAAGTATAAAAGTCAGCTGGAATTAAATATCAGTCTATATATGCTCTGCAGCTACCTGGATGTGTCCAATAATGAATTAATATAGATTTTTATCTGAAAATAAAGACTTTCCCTAAAGTGTACTTAAAGACAAGGGGAAATACCAAGATTAAGCATCAGGCTTACAACATTTCCAGCCAAAGGTTCAATATTCTGCTCTTATTCCAGTGGACATCGCTTTACAATATTTAGTGTCAGAAAAATGCAACGGTCTTAACAGTGTTAAATTCAAAGATTTTTTTTTTCTTTTTTTTTTTTTTTTCAAACATCACCTATGATTTGTTTCATTTTGAAGAGAAAGCGCCTTTCATTTGGTAATCATTTATTTCTCATTCTATTGGACAGATTCTCCCAAAAAGCAATACTTCAACTGAAATCAGTTCTGAAGGATCTTTTATGAATATACATAATGGAGAAGACCCCCATTAAATTTCCAACAAAGTGCTGCCATTTTGAGTAAACAAAGTTATCTCAGCAGGGTCACACACTATGCCATGAATACGGTCTGCAAATTAATTACCGCCCTGACATATGTCAAAACAAATTTTAAGGAGAATAGCAGCCAGTAGTAACCATGTGTTTTATCTACCTGTTAGTATGCAAAATCTGTATTCAATGGGATCTAAATTTATTCATTTATTCAGAACCCCTCAGAGAAATCAAAATGATTCGTTGGCCTTTTTTGCCCGTCTCCAAATGAAATCTGAGTGAATAACATGTGTTTAGTGAGCCAGAAAATAAGTACAGGACGAAGCTAGGGTTCAGAAAAGCAGGTGTCATCTCTGCACAAATAACTAATTTTTTTTAACACTCAAAACTGCTAAAATAGACTGCAGTGCATTATCATTTGTCAGCACTTTAAGGAACACTAAATTTGGTATTTCTTATTTTAGGTGATATCCATCTTTATTCCGTAATTGTAACAAGAGCTGGCTAATATAACTGTCCTAAAAACAGCTTTCAGCATGAAGAAAGACTTTAAAAGCAGAGATATTGAACGAAGGTTTAAAAAGCCTCTGCAACTGGCTTTATCAGCCACTGCAACACAGCCAACAGGTCTGATCTCTGTTTAAAAAAACAAAAGAAACAAAGATCCAAAGCTAGCTCGCTCAGTTGAGTTACATACAGAGAGGACAAACCCACACATACCACATCGAACACAGGAAATAAAGAACTCTGTATGGACAATAGCTGTTATGTTTTCATAGGAATTGAGTCTCGTTTCTCTATTTGAGGTACTTGTGGTGCAACTTCTGCTTTGTCAAAAGATGACCTCCCGGGATCCAATTCTGAAACAGTTTTATCTGGGAGTTCACCAGCATGTTTTTCTACTTCTTTTATAATCTGCCTTCAGTTCACACAGCATATCAAACACTTCCACGACACTAAGCCTCTAATTCACCGTATGTTTATGAAGAGATTTCAGTATAGGAACTATTTTCTGCTAAGCAGGCCAAATATTTTTAGCTCCGCTTTTTTCCAACAGTGAAATACTTCTGATTTAGAGTTAAGTAATGCCATATCACATCTACAGAGTGGATGACTAAATGCATTTCTTTCACACATTAAAAAAAAAAAAAAAAAAAAAAGATAGAGCACAATCCTCCCTATATACAGATGACAGATAATCTCCTCGCATCTGCTGACAAATATATTTAAAGAAAGCCTAAATCTGTCTGTGCCAAACTTGGCTGGATGCCACCAGTTCACCATTGTTGGCGTAAATACTTCACATGATGCAATCACAAGACTCAAGGAAGTTTCCAGTACTTTATTTTATGGTTTTCATCATGTTAACATATACGTTTCCATTCTTTTACAGTTTAGCAGCAACAGAACTGAGAGCCAGGATGGTAGATGACATTTTGCACGTACCACAGGTTTTCTTAGCACATGTTATCAGTATTCTATTTAAATTACAGACTAGTAACTTACCTACAATGAAATACACTAGGATTTAGAGCTTAAGGTTAGAGCAATTGATCTCAATTGTACTATTATCTCTTGTTAGAAAGCAAAGTGAGGCAAAGGAATCAATTTAAAAGAAAAAGAAAAAGACAAGTGTTTTACCTCTCTTAATACTGTGCTTTTATAACCCCGATAAAGTCCTTGAATACCCTGTAAACCAACAAAAGAAAGCATCAGCTATGGGGAATTAGTTTGCCAAAGACCACAATTTATCGGTGATTATGAGGCAAGCATTACAGCCTTACTGAGTGTCAGACCTGAATTTCTTGCAAATTGACTATATTGATTATAACATTGTATACTGTATTCCATGATTTACAGTGCCAGAGGGTTTTATGTTCATTTCAAAGATCATTTAAGCACTGTTCAGAATAATCGGTTATAGAGAAGAAAATATTCCTTACAGTTAAAATTAAAAGGGTGAGAAGGCACAGAAACACATTGCTCCACACTCTATTTGCCCAATATTTTTCTCTAGAATTACCCACTTTCCCATAAATATTTTGAAACTACTACTCTTCTGTTTAAATAGACAATGCAAAATGAACCCATAGGACGACAGGTTCCTACATCCAGCCTCTTAACCTTGATTCAAAGCTTTTATCAGGACAAATATTTTGTATTTTTAACCAGCTGATAACATTCAAAACAATTAAAATTTTATTTTATAAGTGTATATAAAATTATGCTTAATATCTTATAGGCCAGTTTACTCCAGTGTTTGCAAGTCCTATGGCTCTCTGGCCAGCTACAAAGAAGGGGATAAACATACAGTTTTGAGAGCACCAGGTCTTAGAATAGAATGACCAAGTCACAGGAGGAAGTTGCAGCAACCATCTTGTGCAGGGTTATCACAACAGTTTTTATTTACAAGCAAACAAAAAACAAGTGGATCATTTAAAGGTCATATTTATGTCTTCCTTTTCCTGGCTTTTACATAGGGAAATGTGTATAATATTTTTCCCCACAGTGTTTTCAGGAGCCACTTTTGCTTATGGAATGCAACTTGAAAGATGCCCCTTGTGAGACTCAGTAAAAACAGTAATGAACAGGTTTTTCCAGGAAGGAACAGTTAACTACTGAAAAGATGACAAAAGCCCTTATTTTTCAAAAGTTACCAATACTGGATGAGCATTCATTTCCAGAGCTCGTATGAAGCCTCTCTGAAACCATGCCTTTAGAACATGCCCTCCAAAGCCTGCTTAAAAAACTGGAAGCCATTCAGCAAACTCTAGATAGAGACTCGATGTTCTGCTGTCCCAGACAAGGACTGTTTGCATAAATACAAGCAGAGCTTTGGAAACTGGAAAGCTAATTCCTTTTTTGGTTTTGTTGTGCTTTTTTGTTGTTGTTGTTGGGTTTTTTTGTTTTGGTTTGGTTTGGGTTTTTTTGGTTTTTTGGTTTTGTTTTTTTTTTTTGATGTAGGTACCCCATATAAAAAGAGGAGGGGAAAAGAGTTGTTTAGAGTGTGCATGTAAGTGCATGCACAAGGGAGAGGTGGGGGTTTGGTTTCCTTAAACATAACATGCCAAGTGCTTTTAACAACAGAAGAATAGATGGTAAAGTGCTGGGAGAGCACTGAATAGTCCAGAACTAGAATAAAGTTGTAGGAATGGCTCTGGACGTGGCACCAAGTGGGAAAAATGACCCAACTTCTTTGAAAGTTTGCTCTGAACTCACCTCATGATACAAAGTGTGGGAGAGAATCCGGAGGGTGCTCGAGGAAGGAGAAACCTGGGCCCTTTGCTTGACAACCTCAGATGGAACCCGTATGAGACATGCGACCTGCAAAAGAACCGTACGGTCAGAGACCACTTCCTTTTGCTGCCTTACTCTTCATACAGCAGACACATTTGGAGATTGTTCCAAGTACAGAAACCTGAGAAACGAGGAAATAATTTTTGTAATTGTATGAGTTGAACTTAAAAGCCGCTTATGAGCAGCTCATGTATTTGTTCTGAGAGCTATGTACTTTATGAACACAAAATGGCACTAACAGAAAAACAGAAGTACCCTTGAAACTTTTAACTTCTAAACCAGAAGTAGATTTGGGTGGGGAAAATCACCAATGAAACCAAGATTTTGAAGCCATCCTGTCTTTTGGCAACCACAGGAATTCTTCCCCCCCTTTTTCACAAATCTAAACTGGAGATTCAGGACTTGAAAAACAACAAACCTCTCCTATGTAGTTCCTTTGTGCCCTCTAGTGACTGACAGCAAGAGACACTGCAGTTAGCTTTACATGCACACAATATATTCAAGGTTTACCTTAAAACACACTGAATTTTATTCAAGGTGAAGCATCAGATTGATTCTTTCCTACACAATTAATTTACTAGGCAAGAAAGGCCCCTGCAGCTGGATGTAATAAGGTGGCTACCATCACTAAGCTACAGAAAAAGCCAAGTCTGGCTTTAAAACGTTCATCTGCCATTTCAGCTTCAGGTAGGAGTTAAGCTTGTGTGGATATAATTTTGAGGAATGAGGATCCTGAAGTGTTGGAGAATTACAGCTGTCCCATCTCTCTAGAAAATGCCTGTTTATTGGCACTTAAACTTTTAAGAAGAGTTTGTCTCCAGTTGGCTCCAGGGATACCTACAGCAGTGCTAGGGCTGGTAGCAAAACACTGGGGACACCAGGGGCCTTTGTCAGATTTTTAGCCTTCCTCAGTCCCACCCTGTGCTGGGCTCAGGACCACACTGTGGTTCCTAGACGTAAAGGTGATTACCAAGTACTTCAAGACAATAGCAACCTAGGTGGAAGCTGTCCATCTGAAGTGAGAAACCAAGCTGCTAACTCAGAAACCCACACATGCCAAAGAAAGTTCAGGAATTCACTGCCAGATTGCACAGAGACAGTAACGTGAGTGGTCATTTGTGGGTAACACAGTACAGGGTTTAAGTTCCATTTTCACAAAGAGACCAAAAAAAAAAGTCTGTTATCCTGTTACATTCCTACAAGTTTACCAGACAACAATATCCAAAAGTCATTACAAACAGATCTAACTCCATGTGCTCTTCAATTCTCAGGGTCAAAAATAACAAGTGACCCCAATCTGTCAAGAAAATAAGAACTGTCAAGTTTTTTGATAGTTCAGCATAAATATTTATAGAACTTCATGCTTCATAACACTCCATGTCCTTATATTAGCTTTTTATTCCTTAAAAATATGGAGGCAGGAGGAAAGCTTTAAAAAGGCTTGGATGAAAACAATCTAGTCAATCAAGACCAGACAAAGCTCAGCGTGGCTTCCTGACATCTGGGGTGCTGCAGTTTTGGCAGGAGAAGGGTGGCTACAAAGTAATGTCTCCATTTCCCCCTCCGACTACTTGGGGTGCATTTCATTTCAAATTAACTTTGATGTTTCTCCCATTTGAATTTGCGCTTACAAGGGAATCTGTGGCTGCACAAGAACAAAAACAGTGATTACATTGTGCTGTTATGAAAGGAAATACAGGCTCGTCTCACCCGGGCTGTGCTGTCACGTTGGCTCCACAGGGCACTTCTGGTACTAAAAAAGCCACGAGCTGCAACTGCCAACATCAGACTGAACGGTGACATTTTCGCTGTGCACCTGAACTTACAACGTGTTACCTTATTTGTTCCTATACGCGTACCTTTCTATCAATAACAATCCCAGCAGTCTTTTGATGTCAGTCAAACACGGGGCTCCAAAGGGAAGTTTGCAAGATTAAGTTCACACGTGTCTTATTAGCCCACAAGGTTAAAAAAAAAAAAAAAAGTAACAACCTGGGACAGATGGGTGGAGAAAAAAAAAATAATCTCCGATCTGTTCTGCTCAGATCTCAATCTCTGCAGCACCCTCCAGGTAACGCTGCCAAAGTTAAAAGAACAAAACACACATCTCCACCATTTGCTTTCTTAGCTAAATCTGTTTGAGCAGCACCGGTCTGATAACACTGCACCAAGAGAATTCATACTTAAATTTTCAGACATCTGAAAGGTATAAGGAAATCGCATGAGCGAGAGGGAAAGATATAATTGAGTAGCTGCTCCTCAGTAACTGTCTACATATATGCTTTTACCTGCATCAACTACTAGATACATAGGCACGAAAACAGACCATAACGTGACCTTGCACAGTGGGAGCCCATTCACCTCCCTAATAACCAAGAGCCCAGGAAGAAATTGCTTTTTAATCTCTGGGCTGTTCACATAGATGTAAACCTGTTGCTTGCCACAGAAGAGCACAATACAGCCTGCCAAACTCAGGCCATTCCTGGTGCATCCTACGGGTTTTGGAGATGACACTGTGACAAATTAGCTCTCAGTCAAACATCTGCATAGCCAGCCATGGAAAGCTACCTTGGCCAAAATTAAGGCATCAGACAACAGCACCCTGTTGACAGGGGCCATGCTCATTTTTCCAAGCAAGCTCTGGAGCCAGCAGTTATTCCCTTCTCTTGATAGGAGCAGAAAGACAGAATCAAGACCCTACAGACCAAGTCCAAGGGAAAAATGGATGCTGCCCTACCAGCTCCTGCCTTATTGACCAGGTCAGGTAATACAATTCTCCAGTTTTCAGACTCTGTCGCCCGTGTCCATGTACACATACCATAAGGGCAGAAAGACAATAACCCTGCAACAAAAGGCTCAAGTATTTCTAGGTTTAAGGTTTAACAAAACCCAATTTTACAGCTACAAGCAAAGCTATTATTAGTTTACAGAGCAGGTACGCAGAAATGACAATATTAGCATCTTTCTATTCTTACTAAAAGACTATAACCACTTCTGAACAAAAGAGTACTGAATTTCAAAATCCTTGTCTTAAATCATTGCCAGGTCAAAGGGTGATTCTGGTATTTAGATGCAAACCTACATGCATTTTTAATCTACAGACTTGCATTAGCCACTTAGGGACAGTACCTAAAACCAGGACTATTTTGTTAACATTTATCTATGTATTGCTAAGACAGTATATCTTCCAAATAAATGAAGATTTTTTTTTTTTTTCTTCTGACAGTTTACGGAAAAGCGTTTTAATTTTTGGATGCTCCTTGTGTGCATCAATGCTGCCATCTCCTGGTCGGATTCATGTTGGAACCAGACTTTCCTGGTTGTTCTGACCAAGGTCTCGACTGATCCTGAAGAATGCAAAACTGCCTTAAAGTCAACACAAAGCCTCTTTTTACACCGACTTAAACAGTTTGTTTCAGTATAGCTGAAACCCGTCCCTACGTGGCTGTAGCTAACAGAAAATAAGATCTCCTGCAAACAGCACCAGGAACCTGCACAAAGCCTTTTGCGTGGGCTCACCTCAGTTTGTTGGAAAGACCTTATCTCAAACCACTGTCTTCTACATAGGGGCCAATCCTACTTAAAGCTGGAGCAGCTGCTCAGAACTAGGCAGTACACATCTAATTCATGAGCACAAGACTACCAAGCATGTCTCTCCAGACAATAACACAAGACATGTAATAAAAAAAAGAACAAAGAGGAGGTAGCCCTGCTTAAAAGGGGATTTGGTACAAGTTATCCAGGTAAACCAGCAGCAAACAGCTTGCTGTGAAAATGGCTGAAGAAAACTCCCAACCAAAAGAAGACTTATTTCATTTAAATGATTTTGTGGTTGACATGATAAAGAATCTGAAGTAGCTGGTAGCATTGGTACTGCAGATTCTGAAATAAGCACTTATCTGCAAACCACCACGACACCCCTTCTAGTTCACTAGCAGGTCCTTGCTCCTCCACCCAGTATGTTCTATTCTTCAGGCAAAGCAGAACAGAAGACAATGACAACACCTTTAGAAAAGGGCACAACTCCTCCTGGTCTTCAAAGCTATATTATTATCCAAATATTAACATATCCCATTTAGATTAACAGCCTGTTGCTATCATCCTTTGTGCTCCAGGCTAACCATTTTCTACATGACTGGCTTTGTAGGATTTAGCAGAAAACCAGCGATAACACTTACATTTGTTTTTAGGCTGCTGTACTACAGTTTGACCACTAACCTTGCAGGCATGATCTGGGCACGAGATGTATCCAGAAATACTTGAAAGAGGGCAGAGCAGGTGTTAAGAGTTGCTGCTAAGGGTTTATGCTGGGTATTTAAATTGGGTTAATGCATGGCAGGTTTTTCTCCGAACCAGGGACACAGCTGGTACAACACCATTAGCAGCTTTGTACCTCTAAGGAGAGCAGCCTGAGAAAGCATCACCTCGTGCACACACCTGGCACACACCTTGCACAGCTGATGATCTGACTCATGCTCTTAAAAGCTCCCACAACCCTACGGTCTGAGCACTTCTTATCTTTAATGATAGACAGATATTATCCCTGCTCTTAACTGTGCAGCCTGGCACACACCTTGCACAGCTGATGATCTGACTCACGATCTTAAAAGCTCCCACAACCCTACGGTCTGAGCACTTCTTATCTTTAATGACAGACAGATATTATCCCTGCTCTTAAGACAGGCTACTGAAGGACAAAGACTAAAAGCCCATTCTGTTAAAATGCTGGCACCTGATGCGTTCCTGGCTAATGAGCTGATCTATTCTCTGCACTAATGTGGGACTGGGTGAGGACCAAGACCAAATTTTTCCACTTAGTAATTAGCCAGCCATTCTGCTACAAGGCAGGAGAAGAGTAGTCTGACAGGGAACTCTTCTGGAATACATAAGTGGCTTGTGATTTAGGAACCTGCACTCGGTGACTCCAAGAAAGTCTCTGGCTTGCACATCTAAGCCTGCTTTGAAACTGGGTACAGAAACATGCAGGGAGCTCCAGGAAACATTTATTTGTTGCAGCTTTATACCCT